TACTGGAAAAACTCAATTGAACAACGAAACTAGGTCACAATGCAATTGTCGCAGGTCGGAAACTAAAATTCAGTACCTTCGGTCGCTTCGCCATTTGCTTTGTCGCAGGTCGCTTATCTTCATCACCAATTTCATCCGATCGAGTGTTCTCTTCGTCCGTCATCTTCTCCGATTAAGATACAATGCGAAGTAGGTGAATTGGGAAGCAATTGAATTGTGAAGCAGAGGAATTGTGAATTTATCTCGTTTTTCAATTTGGCACTCTGATCGAAGAACTAATGATGGCTAACGGGTAATTCGATTGGCTTTGACGGCTACTGGTAACGGAGACAGGTTATGATGGCTAACGGCGACTCCTATTGGTGGGATTTAATCTTCTCACTCCTATTTTGGGCTTTTATCATTGTTTTACTCCTATTGGGCTCCTTCTCCCTTTGTAACATTGTTATTATTATCTATTAATAAAAACATTGTTATTATTATTATTATTTAATTACATATAATATTATAATAGTAAGTATTCTGGTATTATTTAATTATATGTGACATTAAATAATGTAACATGATTTAATTGTATTGCACAACTACTAGTTGAAACAACTATCAGATTGTATATGAGAATAGAATTTATGATAGATTAAGGTTGCATCTGTTCACCTAATTTTATTAATCCTGATATAATTTTTTCAAAGTATGACTTGCACTGATAGAGTCTGGTCTTATCTGATTTGATGTAAATGGGTCTGATTTAATTTGAATGGATTTAATCTGGTCTAATTCAAATTAAACTTGTTATAATAATTTTATTATTTTTTTTAACATTGTCATGAATCTCATGATGATATGTATAATTATTAATTATTTAATCAATACATAATATAATGAATAATTTTTATTTTAGAATTTTGTCATGTTTACGATTAAAGGCTTAGATAACTTTTGTTTGCGTATGTATTTTCATTGTTTATTTGACAAGAAAAAGTGAATATGTCACCACTTATTTTGTAGAATTATTGTTGTACTCCAGTTTTTATAATGTAAATCATACTTTTTTATTTCTATGCATTTTTATAAATACAATCATTTTAAAAAAATAAAATTTTACACATTTTTTGAAAGAAGATTATACCTTAGGGACGAAGGATTATGACTACTTAAATAATAATAAAATCATAATAATAGTAATAATAATCATCTCTATATATGTTCCAAATTAACTGTCCTAGTTTGATTTCACGGTGTAAGAAAAGTATTGAAAAATAAAAAGTGAGTGATTGAAATTTGTTTATAGGAAAGAGAATGATTGTGAAGAAAACCTCCTAAATAGGAGTAAAAGATGTGTCATATCTTTAAAATAGGAGCTCAAACATAAACTCCTCCAAATATGACCAAAATTATTAGAATATAAAAATAATCCCCACGGGGATCATTCGCGAACAAGCTCTTCGCTTCTTCAAGATTGATTCCGATCTCTACACCGCCTACTCCCTTTAATCTCTTCCCGATCGGCGACCGATTCCAATCTCTTGGACGCCCGCCCCTTCAGTCTATTGCAATTGACAATGCCACTGTCACAAACACCCGATCAACTCCAATCTCTTTGCCGCCCACACCCTGTCAATCCATTACAATCCATTACAGTTGAGCATCACCATCTGTGTGTCACCGTCACCTCCATTGTCTCCGTCACCAAAGCCCACCCGCAGTGCCATGATTTTCCCCATGAACCCCTTGAAAGATTCATCGACGCACCCATCTAAGATCTGCCACACCGCCCACCCGCATTTCCCTCCCTCAAAGCTTTCAATTCAAAAGTGAGAGTGTTCTCTCGATCTTTAATTAAACTTAATTTTCCTTGTATTTTGCTTGCATCCTTTGGGATGACGATTTGGTGTTCGGAAAACAGGAGTCCACCAATATCAAGCACGATTGGTCATTTATCCGTGCAATGGTGGCTGTGGAAGGGGTGATGCTCAATGACTGTCGGCAAGGCAAAGGGCCAGATTTGACATTATGCTTTTGTGTAACAGTATGAATTCACATTGTGGCATTATATATATATGCATTTATGACATTATATATGAGCATTTGTGGTATTTAATATTGTCATGTGTGACATTATATGGTGCGATGTTTGCCATTATGTCTTTTGCTAACAATATATTGACAGTTAATGTGACACTGTGATGACAAGGATGTAAATTTTGATGTTAGTGTAGGCAAAAATGATAGAGACCGGTGATGTTGCTGGTGACGGTGAAAAATCAATACAGCAATAGTGGGGTCTGACCGCAACGACGCAGCGTGTTAGAATATAAATAATTGTTCCTGGGCCACAACCACAAACTTGAGCTTTTGGTTGAGTTGGTTCCTTGACATGGTATCGGAGCCTAGTTGACTAAGAGGTCACGAGTTCGAATCTCAATGCCACCCAGTTAAAAAATAACAAGGTTTCACGTGCAAGGCTCGAAAAAAACTATGCCTGCACGTGAGGGGGCGTGTTAGAATATAAATAATTGTTCCTGGGCCACAACCACAAGCTTGAGCTTTTGGTTGAGTTGGTTCCTTGACACACCGGCAATGGAGCATGACATGTCATTGAAGAGAATCATGATATAGAATGGCTCTGCCTACGCATGGAGTTGCTTTCAACATGAGTCTTCTCATTTTGCATGGTTTTGCTTGTGAGTTTTTCCGATGGAAGTATAGATCCGAGTAAGCATCTCTCTGATGTTTCATATACAGCTAGCTAAGAATTGTATGGGGCCTTTCTTGTAGTTAGATACCTTGTGGTCTTGTGGAACCATCAAGTTTCAAAAAGTAACACTAGGAACTGCTTGAACTTTTCTAATGTTTGGAATTCATGATTTGTTTTCCCAAATGAAGCCCCATCCCTCCTTAAATTCAAAGTTTAATCCTGACAAAAATATATATGAGTCGTTTCTTTTGATGTATTCCAAAAAAATCCAAAAATAGAATCCACCTAGATTTACGCTCTTGAATTTTGTGTCAATGAATGTGAGAACACTTATAGAACGAAGGGGGTGCCTTGAATGTTTTTTCTTGACTAATATAATAACACTATGTTTGGTTCAATGATTTTGGCTGGGAAAAGAAAAGAAAATAGGAGGGAAATGTTTTTTTTATGTTTGGTTAGTGAGAAAAAGAAAGGAAAAGTGAGAGGAAAAGAAAAGTGGAGAGAAAATGAATTAAAAAAGGGGGAAAATCATTTTCCTCCCGATTTCGGACGGAAATCGAGAGAATCCCGTCTCTGAGACAATACTCCGTAACTAGTAAATTTCAATGTTGGAAATTATAAGTCTTATGTTAGTATTTTAGAGTTAATCGATAATATTAAAAAAATTTATTAAAAATGCTAAAGTTTATTTTGGGTTCAAATTTGATTCCATAAAATCTTTTGGGTTCAAATTTGAATTTATATTGTTTTCTCACCAAATTTCCTTCTAACCAAACAAAAAGAGTATGAGAATATATTTTCCTCATCAATTTCTATCTTAATCAAACATAACTAGAATTTTGAGTTTCTTTTCTTTTCCTTATCATTTTCCTTTCTTTCTTAATTCCTTGAACCAAACATAGTGTAAGTGAAGTGTCCTCTTTTATAGATATGGCAGGACTTGCCGTAACATATGGGTTGAACTTGAATGCACGGCTGCTTAACTTGCACAAATGAGTTGTATGCACATTAACTCCTATTTTGGGAGTTTTATCTTTTAACTCCTATTTTAGGTTTTAATCAATGTTTTATTCCTATTTTGTTCCTTAACCCATGATTGTGTAGCACATATTCTTTTCTTTATAATAAAAGAAAGTGGAACAATTTTTTTGGAAAAGATTAAAAAAGAAAGTTGATCGATTATTTCTCGAAGGGTGGAGTAATAATTAATACGGAGTATTATTTATCCATACGTAACACTATTATTATTGATTTTAATGAAAAATTATTGTTGTTGTTGTTATTATTAATTTTTAATTGTATACTCCCTCCATTCTAAAACGATCTCCTCCGTTCGGTTTACGAGGTTTGACTGAAATTATTTACGTTTCAATTTATTTGATTATAGGTGTAAAATTAAAAAATAAAATTATATATTTTAAAACTACATCATAAGTTCTACAAAATAAGAGGTGATATGATTATATTATTTTATCAAATAACTAATGAATATACGTAAAGAAAGTGATAAAAGTTTAATCAAGTGAATATTGACTGAAAAGATCATTTTAGAACGGAGGGAGTATAATATTATATTATCTCCGTCCCAGAGTAATTGTCCACTTTCATTTTTACACACCATCCATTACACTTCTTTAATCCATTTTATCTTGTAATTTGTATATTAAAAAATTATAGAAATTATATACTAATAATCTAAGTATATGTTAAGACAAATCAAACAAGATCACACATGACTATATTTAGGCTTACACATTGAGAGAATTTGATGAGTCAAAATGCTTAGATGAACAGTTCCAAAAGTCAAAACTGGACGAATACTCCGGGACAGAAGAAGTAATAGTAATGATTATTTAATTGCATATGACATTAAAAAATATAACATGATTCAATTGTATAGGAGGAGGCAATGACAACTAGTTGGAAACAGCTATCAGATTTCATTAGGATAGGGACCCAAAAGAGAAGAGTAGCAAATAAAGATGTGAATTTGATAATATGAATGTGCAGCCTAACCCTGTTGTTGATCAACAATCCAAGTACTCTATTTCCAGAACTCATTACACAGTTGGCTTTCAATTCAAAAAAAAAAAAAAAACTGGAAATATTCAGGGAGGAATTCAGGTAAAAGTACTCAATACAGAGGATTAAGTGTTTTTTTCAAGTATCTACATTGGTTATGGGACCTCTGAACCAGTGGCGAGCGAAGAGTATCCACGAAGATACAGTGAGAAAGAGCAACCCGCAGACAGCAACGGGAGTGTAGTTGACTGTTTGAGCGGAGATTGGGTAGGCCACGGGCAATGAGAAGAGGACTGAGATCGTACCCACCCAGAGGACCGAAACCCAACCGATTAGGACTCCATAGCGACCCAGGTTGAATGGTCCCGGACGAAAGGACTTCCTTGCTAGGGTTACCCTAAAAAAGATTGGCAAAGCATATGCTATGTACAGTCCAATCGTCGCAATGGACACCATAGCCTGAAATGCCACTAGACTTCCAAGCGACTGCAAGTGGCAATGGAGCTCAATATTAGCAAAAAAAAAAAAAAATTCCCCCAGAGGAGGTAAATGAAGCTCTAAATCTCAGTCTGGGCAACAGAGAGTGTAAAAAATATTCGAAAGCGGTTCAGAACCGGAACCGCCCCTACACGGTACCGGATCCGGTTCCCCTAAAACGGGTACCGGAAGCGTACCCGTACCGTGTCTAGAGCCCTACCTCAGAGGAGGTGAATGAAGCTTTAATCTCAGACTCGGCAACGGAGAGTGTGATCTCTCCCTAGTCCCATGCCCCAGCAAGGACCTTATGCAAAGCATAAAAGTCCCACACTGGGTAATTTACCTAATTAAGACTAAAACATAATGATTTTCTTAATATAAGACAATATGTTTTTATTTCCCTATGTAGGACCATTGGTCATTATCTATTAGTACTTATTCAACTAAATGTCCAACATCACTTTCTCACTAGTCATTATTAAGTCCTATTTAGAGAGTAAAAAAGTTTAAGTCCTACATTTGGAAATGACTTATGTTTTAGTCCTATTCAGTGCAAATTTCACTTTTTTTTCTTCCACGCACGCACTTGCACACATAGATTGATCGGTAAATAGAGAGATGGAGAGGAATACCGTCAGAGCCATGCAAAATGATATGAGCGCGGAGAGCCAAACTGCGTTTATTGGGACCTCTTGTTTATTCACACAGTGCCATAGGTTTGACAATGGCATTGCTCCATCTCTTGAGAATGCATAAGCCATCCTGAAATTCGGTCATTTCAGCTTACAAGAAGAAAAATGGGGAAAAAAAGGCTGCACCCCATACCTTGAGTTGCTAGTCACAGAACCCATCCCACAGAAAAAGATGGCAACGGCAACCACACCTAAGCAAACAATTCCCCCGGCCCCACTGCCGTATCTGTTCTTGAATGCCAGGTAAAAAATTTCAGCAATTGCGTAGCCACCGGCATCGTTGTGTTTATCCAAGAGAAACGGGATGTTGGCAACTGCAAAGGTGATCCCAAGTAGGTAACCCCATCCAAAGATAATCGATATCCCGATGGAACTAATAATTCCTTTTGGACCATTTTTATCTGCTCCTTTGGTTTCCTCGCTCTAGAAATATCATATAAAAAAATTACATAGTTAAGTTGTTGGACAAATGGTATATGCCAAGATGCAGAAGATGCATTAGAATTTACAAAGTAAGATGAACTTACCATGTGAGCAGAGGCATCGTACCCAGTAAGAGTGTACTGACTCATTAGGAGCCCAAGAACGAAAATGTAAACTTTACTACTTATTCCGTCACCATTATCAGTATTGAAGTAAGTGAACACAAACTTGGCACTAGCCCTCTCCGTGGCAACAAAAGGAACAAGAACCATGAGAACACAAACACCTGAATGAGTGAGGAAATGAGGTCATGTTCAACAAAACACGAGCTGTCCACAAAAAAAAACTCTCTTTTAAAGAAATGAATGTAAAATGTCAAATAAGTCCTTCACATGAGTGTGTCACCCGTTCATGTCATACTCCATATTTAGGATATTTTAGACAATTCATCATACTTTTTTTTATTGAATATGGAGAGGGGACGACCAGTTCCGGACAAGTGAAAACTAGAAAGTGGACAACTAAATCTGGATGGAGGGAGCATTTATATTCATACCTACAAGATTCCATGCAGCAGCAACCTGGCCAAAGAAGGATAATGTTGAGATGGGAAGACTGTTGATGATGGCATGTAGCAGCAAAATTCCACCGTGTAGAGCAATAACCACATATTTTGATGCCTCGTAACCACCGCCATTTTTTCCTCCCGTGCTAAGGAGAATAATGACCTTGATCAGCTGTGCGAGAGAGAAATCTATACTCGCAGTAATTGCCCACTGGAAATGAAATGCTGTTAGAGATTATAATGAAATGAGTTTTAAAAGGAATTGCAAGAGAAGAAATCAAACCGAAACACATTTTAGATTGGGATGTCTACCTGCCCAACAATGTTAAACCTGTACAGAAAGTGAAAATGTATGGCGGTTAGATGCGCGCAACAGAATACAATATCAAAATCTTATTCCAATGGGGCTCAAACAACCCAAATCCCCATAGTCTATGAATCAATGTACATATAATGAGTTAGTGCAAAATAAAAACACATCTCGATTCCATAATAAAAAGCAGGCCACCTTAACAAACAAAAAAAACAAAAAGTTTCAAACATATGTATAGTAGTACAATACCATCCAGTAAGCCATGAGGCAAAAGGAGCCCAATTGGGTCCAGCAAGCATAGCACTCCAATAGTAGAGACCCCCAGAAGTTGGGTAAGAAGAACAAATCTCAGCCATCGAAAACCCGATGCACATGGTGAAAGCACCAGCCACAAACCAGCCATAGAGCAACGAAACGGGTCCCCCGAAATTCAGCCCGGTGTCGTAAAGTGTAGTGATGCCAGTGAGCACCGATATGATCGAAAACGAAAATGCGAAATTGGCAAACACCCTGTAACATTTGGACCACCAAAAACCACCAAAAACAAACAAACCTATAATGAACTGAGACCCAATTCAAGCAGTTCCCTCAAACAGGGGAAGTGGGAATCAATCAGAAACAACAATAATAAGAACAGATAAAAGAGAAGGGAGAAATGGGTTTCTGGGAAACTTAACGAGAGATCACGCTTGAGCTCTTGCTTGTAGCCAAGCTCCTTCAGACGAGACTGCCCAGAATCCATCTGGTTTTCAGATTTGAGATTCCGGAGAACCAAGCCCGCACCGCCAAGCTGGAGAGAATGAATGAAAAAAATAATATATCAGAGAGAGAGAGAGAGAGAACAAGTTGCAGGAAGTATGGTGGTTCTCACGCACCCTAATAAAGTTAACCAATTCCGAACTCTCAGGAATCCCTCACGGGAATCGGAATCAAAGTTGCTACATTATTGTGTCTTCTTTCTTGGTTGTAAAATTGAACCAAACAGATTCGACTCCAAAGTAAGGTGGTCAACTTAGAGCCGCCGGAAATGGCCGACGGCTGCATTGTAGTTTCCTTCCCCGCCTCCTCCAAATGTCCAGATTTTTACTCTGGGAGGATACATTGACCACCATCAAAGATTTATCAAATATTTATGACTAATATTGGTATTCTTTAAGATAAGGTGACATTTGAATTCAAACTCGAATTCGATTTGAATAATTTTTAAGATTCAGTTTGTTCAATATATTCTTTCGGTTTTGCAAAAATCCTTCCCATTTTAATCAAAGGTGAAATTAAGATAGTGTTAAATTGTAGTTGACTTTCAATTTTTTCCTTGATATGATGGGTAAAAGTAAATGTGATGGATATATTATTAGAAAAAAAGTATGTTGTGATATGTCGGATAAAAAATATTTGAGTAAAAGTGGTTTTTTAATAGAAAGTTAAAGTGTGTTGCTAAAAGAGAAAAAAAGAAAGAGAAAGTATTTTGGTGAACAAAGGGAGTACTAAACATGTTCGGTTTGTTTAAAAATTTGATTTGTTTAAATATATTCAGTTTGTTTAAAAAATATTCAATATATATATTTTATAATTGAATTTATATTCCGAAAGAATCTAATACGAATAAACCCTACTAATAAACTGCGTGACAGGTTTGCGTATGTCGGTGAAATTTTTAGTGTCAAATTTAGACTTTGTTTGGTACAAGAAATTCCAATTCTATTATTTTTGTAGCTTAAAATATGTGGACTTGAAATTGGTGGTGCAAAAAATAAATTAGAATTAGATAATTCAATTTTGTCCCATTCAATTCTATAGAACTTTAATTTCAAACCAAACAGACCATTAGTAGATTTCTAGCGATAGATTTTAACCCACCGACTATGATAAGTGATGGTCTAAAAACCGTGCAAATATTAGATAAGAATAAGCGAAAGGGTTGTAGGTGGAAACACATGTAACCCGGTTTGTTATTAATGATAATAGGACCTTTTACAAAGCTACAAGTTGTGCGGTTTAATTAAAACATGCCTTCCTAATTAGGCTTTTAACCCTATTTATAATAATGAATAAGCACGTCTCAACGTTACTGTTCTTCTAATCGGTCAGTCTCTAATCGGTCAACACGCATGCCTTTGTCAGACGAAGCCATGTTCTTGATTCTGAATCTTCTCATACCTCACCGGCCAGACTACCCGGGTTGACCAAGTCATAAGGCGTGAGATTTAGGGTCAATGGGTTAATACCCATCAATAAGGGAAAATAATACTCAGTAATATTAAGAAGTACTCCGTAATAGTAATGGTAAAGAACTTAAAATACAACTCTCATAGCTTTGTGATGGTGTAAATTACCTGATCGCGTAAACAGTACTAGACCGGGTCTAGGATTATTTACTGGATTCGAGATAGTAAAATGTAAAAACACACAAAGTAACCGGGAGGACTGTAGATGGAAACACTTGTAGCCCAATTGTTATTCTCCTATAGAGCGAATGCGGCATAGAAACAATTACTAACCATCCGACTCCTATATATGAAGACAATATTGCAGGCATTGTTCAAGTTAAGGAGCCACATTAAAGGTGATGGAACCAAGCATATAACACCAAAGTTTTTCTCAATTCATTATCTCGAGAAAGATGGAAAGGTTGAGATCAAGCGAATCAAGTCAAGTGAGAACCTCTCTGATTTATTTACAAAAACATTGGCCCGCCAAAAAATTTGAAGAACTTGTGCACAAGATTGACATGTGTCGCCTCTATCAATTTTGCTAAGTTGAAAGGGAGAATTTTATACACTGTACTCTTTTTTTCCTTTATCAAGTTTTTAGTCCACTAGAATTTTTCTAACAAGATTTTTAACGAGGCAGTACATAAAATTAGGATAAGTTTCAAAACTACGGCCATTGCACGATATACCCATCATTAATTTAAAATCAATATTCAAGGGAGAGTGTTGATTGTCAATTTTTTTCAAGTAATTAAGTCATGCTCCTCCATAGCTGCAGAAACAAATCGTTTGTCATCAACATCAAGTTGCTATATGCATTGTAACACCCCAATTCGTATAACTCGGAATTATAGAAATTAAGGTAAAACGGGAAAAATATTTTTGAAAATTTTCCAAATCATTTAATAAAATTCATAAAACAAAACTTCAAATGCAAAATACTAAATTCGGATCGATCCTTTTACAAAATGTCGGAGATAGCGCACGACTTAAAATAATACAAATACAATGATGTGGGTCAAACCCAGAACTTTGAATGCAATGCTCGTGAAAATCATGCATGTCAAACTGACATCCTATCGTCTCTTCGTCCTCCAGGTGGTTCACATAATATGTGCTTCAACATACATGTAGACAAAAAGACTAAACGCTCAGCATAAAGCTGAGTGGTACGATAACGCGAGAGATTGATAACATATTCATACTTAAATACCATGCATCACATTGGCCACATAATTTTCATGCTTGCATAATATATAACACAAGATACACATACACATATCATATCATGGAGATTCATTTTGGAATAATATCCAAATATAAATACCTTGGCCTTGTCGTCGACGGTGTTGGATATGAAGTGCAGTATATTTTACAATACCCCATACAAATTGATAATTAAGATCTGCATAATTACTTACAAACGATGTAATGCCAAATGATTCATAATGCATGAGTTAGACTACGCAGGACCCCTGCCCTTCGGTGATCATCCCCACGCAGTGATGAGCTGAGGAACGCCTTAGTCTCCTGGAGGAGACTAGAAATTGTGGGTGGTAACTGAATGCCTAGTTACCATGTATGTACTCGTCCGATTGACAAACCATTTGCGGCTGTGGTTCACCGACTCTCAGGGCTATAACTTTGGTCAAGAAAACACGACCAAACACTGAGTTGAAGATGGTCGAAATTCTGCTCAAAGTGGACTAACGGGATTTTTCTTCCAAAAATCAGAACCTCCTCCTTCTTCTTCCTCTTCTTCTCCTTCGTCGGCCTACCTCCTCCACGCCTGCGCTGCTGCTGTCCGCTGAAGCAAGGGAGAGAGAGGGAGTTGGATGATTGGCGGGTTACAAAATGATGGAGGAATGAAGGGAGAGGAGTGGGTTTATAATGAAGGGAAATGAATGGAGAATTAAAGGGAGTAATGGGAATTAAAATGGGAGAATGAATGGTGATGAGTGGGTGTGTGGCGTGTGAATTAATATTGGGGAGTTACCTCCCTAAATTCATTCCATTGTGTAAATTTTGACTTGAACGGTACGCGTTTCCTCCCGAACTTGCCCGAATTGAAAACCATTTGCGTTTTCGGAAATAACCAGTCAAAACTAAATTTATGATATCTTCAAAATATGTTTCTAAAAACTTTATTTTTCAAACTTTCGGATCCATCTCAATCATTAATTTCTTTATTTATTTAATTAATGTTGAGAGATCCGTCATTAAAATACATTAACTTTGGAAGTCCATTTAATGAGATCAAAATCTCAATATTTATTATTTAAAATAATGAGTCTCAATAAATAAATATTATTTATTTATTTAAAATATTAGCTAGCTATTAGGCCGGTTTGTGGAGCGTTACATGTATACCATATATACTATTTTGTAACAAGTTTTCAACTAAGTCTCTCCACTATAAATAAAGACTTAAATTCTCGTGAAATACACCATTAAGGATTTAATGAAGATTAATATAGTTTAGAAACATCTCTATATATGATCTTTAGTATTTTCTTCTATTTTTATAACAAAATACTAAAATTTTCAATTCGATGATTTTGGAGGAAAAAAAAAGAGAGTTTCAAACCAGAAAACTGCTCTTGGGTACCCCATATTTTGAGAAACTAACTGCCGGGTATCTCATATTTTCAAAATATACTCCGAGGTACCTTATATTTTGAGAAACTAACTATTGGGTACCTCATATTTTTAAAATATAATCTGAGGTACCCTCTATTTTGAGAAACTAGCTATCGGGTACCTCACATTTTTAAAATATACTCCGGGATACCTCCAAATATACATTAATTTTACGCCATTAATTTTAAGAAATAGGGGTTTGTAATTTTAAAAGTAACCAAGATCTTTTTAATTTGAAGAAAATTGTACTCAATACTTTTAAAATTGAGCACTCAATTTTGTAGGTATACTGGAGTATATTTGGAGGTATCCTGGAGTATATTTTAAAAATGTGAGGTACCCGATAGTAAATTTCTCAAAATAGAGGGTACTTCGGAGTATATTTTAAAAATGTGAGGTATCGTATAGTTAGTTTCTCAAAATAGAAGGTACCTCGGAGTATATTTTAAAAATGTGAGGTATCGGATAGTTAGTTTCTCAAAATAGAAGGTACCTCGGAGTATATTTTGAAAATGTGAAGTACCTAGCAGTTAGTTTCTTAACATATAAGGTACCCAAGAGCAGTTAGTTTTCTGGTTTCAAACACTACGGAGTAAAACATAAGGATAAAGCTATATGTACCCCATGTTTTTGTATCCCACTTTGTACCCCGCAGCTTTGCACCAACACTTTGTGTTGGTGTAAACCTAATTTTTGTTAATGCACCAACACTTTGTGTCCGTGTAAATTTTTGTTAACGCACCAACACTTGTGTCGGTGTAAAGTATCAAAATGTTTGTGTATAACTACGGTGTACAAATGGGGTATAATTTGTGGTGTAAGTGTAGCATGACCCAAAACATAAACCTCTTAAAAATAGAAGTATTTATCAAAATGCCCTGTAAATGTTTCGTATTTGGTGGACTACCCTGTAAAGGTGAATTGACGGAAATGTCCAGGCGTGTATGACCGACGCGCTTCTTTGAAAATTAAAAGTTATTCCATTTAACGAAGCGTAAACGGCGTTTCAACTTTAAATTTAAATAAAAAAATCCGAGAATGGGCGAAACGACGTCGGAAGAGACTATACAAAAACCCTCCATAAACATCTTCCTTCATCGTGCGACCATTGAGTTTTCGATCTGTGTGTGCTCTATCCCCCCTCTTCGACACCTGCAAAACTTGATCGAAACCCTACCCATCCAAAGTCACCGGTCTCGGAAAACCTTGAATTTATACAATGAGGACGAAGAATGCTTCTGTGTCTTCCTCCAAGAATGGAA